ATGCTGACTGGCCATTGCCCCCCCCGCCTGATGTTGTACATTTCCAGCTGGGATGTTTCCAGGGCCCCGAAATGTACAATGAGGGTAGGGCCTCCAAAACCTGTTTAGGCCACGGGCTGCCAATCTAAGGCAAACTATATGAAGCACGACAACCCTGCTTCAAGGTTGGTTTGGCCTGTAGACCTTTTGATGTGTGCCCACCATTATACTGCATGCAAACCCTGCCCATTCAACAACACGCAAGATGAATTGCCCGAGGTTTGCGTGAACATGCATGTGTTTCTGGTGAAGCTTTCCTGCTCCAAAGTCCGAGCTTGAAGGGTGTATGTTGTGTATGGAAAATGTAAGCAGGCCCTACAGCAAGCAGCAAGTCGCCAGCCGTTGCTCCCTGAAAAGGGTCTTAATTGGTCTAACAAACCTACTGAGGGTGGGAAAAGCTTTCAATCTGCTTTTGCAGTTTGAAGACCCTTGCCGTACATGGGGCAAGATGTTTGAAGTCACACCATCCCTTCCGTTTCAGCATCACATCCCGCCTTGGGGATTGCCGTCAGTCTTCGCCCTTCCTTCTGACAAAAGTCTGAAAATTCCGAGAATGTCGTGTCTGCCTCTGCCTTTACGGACACGAGGCTTTCGACGTGTCGCAGCTGGCTGCACCTGGCACGCCAAGTCGACGCGCGCGGAGCGCTGGCGCCGGGCTCCCAGGCTTCCCCCTTCCGGGCTCCTCACAGCGCCATCTTGCGCCATTGCAGAATGGTCTTGTGTTTGCTAGACGGGGAAAATGACAGACAGGTATACAAATTGCGTGACCTGGTTGGTGCTGCCGCAAGCTCAAGCTTGCACGAGCGGATCAGCTTGAGGAAGGAAGTCATGTTGCCGGTGAGATATGGGATGACACGCGATGGGCTGATGGCGTCCCTTTGGAGGCAGCTACTAATTGCTCTTGCAAAAGGATTGCATGCACCATTGTGCAGCGTTGGGTCCCAGGACTTCGTTGGCCGGAGACCCGAAGAGAATATGGTTCAAAAGAGTGGGTGCATAGGTTTGTTCTTGAAAGAGGTGCAGGGGGCCTTGCCGAGCGGCTGCGCGCCGCGCTGCCTGAAAGGCTTTCATTTGCAATTGTGCAGTGCAATGTAGCACCACATGTACAGCCTAAAGCGTAAAGGAATGTGTGAAGAAGACTGTATTCTTTCCTGGAGGCCTCTTTCTTCTTTGGCCACGGCCAAAGAAGCAGGTGCCAGGGTCCCGGGGCCTGGGCTCAGCGTGGAAGAAGCGCTGCAGCGTGCGCGGGCCAGTGACTTCCAGACGCTGCAGGCAGCCAGAGCACCAAGCGGGGTTTCACAGTTTCACAGTGTAACATTATTCAAATGGTTTCGTGTGGAGTCAGGAGGACGAGGCGCGCGCGAAGGCCTGTCAGCAGGAACATCAGGTTTGGCAAAATAGTTAAAACGGCTACAGGCTACGGGCTGAAGGAACTTGCTTTGAAGGAACGGGCAGAGAAGCAGCGCCAGCCAGTGGCCACCCCGTCCAGGCCCCGGTGTCCCGGGCTCTCTGAGAAAAGGTCTTCTGCATAGCCTTCCCAGCCTTGGTGAGGTCTCCTCATGGCCGGGAAAGGGAGCCGGGCTCGCGGCCGGGCAACGGCCAGGTGCTTTTGGCTTCCCTCCTGGAGGCCAAACGGAACGACCATTCGCCTGAGTTTTTCTTGAAGCCTTCACCCTGAGATGCTGAGGCTGCGCGGGAAGAGGGGCGATTGGGGGCCACCCGCCAGATCCGCATCCAGCCGCGAAACCGGATCGCATCGCTTTTCTTTGTTTGTGCACAGCGGAAAGAATGACCCAACTCTCAACTGCGGAGCAGCAGAGCAACAGCCCTTTAATCAGGTGCCCTTTCTGCGGCGTGGTCAACGGAGCCCGCGCCTCCGAGCGCCACCGGGCCTGGGACCCCAAACCGACGGAAAGGAGTCTTGAAGACTGTGGAGAGGATAGATGCTTTTGCACTTTGCCTCTTTGCCTCTCTTTTTGTCTTTCGACTCAGGTGATCTGCGGGGCCTGTCGCAGCGTCTTTGCCCGGTTCCCAGGTGTTACACTTCATTTCGTTACATCCCTTACACACACATGTGTGTGTGTGTGTGTCTCAGACAGTCAGTCAGTCAGTCAGTCAGTCAGTCAGTGTGTGTGTGTGTCATCCTCTGTACCAAAGAGTTGTAACCAGTTCTAATCAATTATCACAACAACGTGAGATAAACAATGCAG